GTAGTTAGTAGGAAAAAGTGAATAAAAAAACATGAAATAACATATAATGAATTATTTAATTATCAAAGCAAAAGCTAAAAATGATAAAATAAATAAATTATATGAAGAAATAAATCAAAAAGCACAATAATTAAGAAAAATAAATCTAATAAAAAGCAAATAAATAAATTCTTTAAAAGAGTTTTATTGTTTTAAATTCATTTTCATATTAAAAATATCAAAATCACAATCAAGAAAACTAGTTTTACCCAAGATAAAGTTCCAACTTTGATAGATTAGCACATTTTACTAAAGCAGAACCTAAGCTTAATGCATCTTCATCATCAATTTTATTACCACTTTTAAATATTGAAGAAAATATATTAATTAATGAATTAGTTAGTTAGTTAGAATGAAAAAATCAATAAAAAATACTAAATAAATATATTTTTTATATCAAAGAAAATTTTGAAAATCTACTATTAATCAATCAGTTAAATTAATAAAGAAAAAACAGAATCAGAATAAATAGAAGAAAAAAAATTAAATAAAATGCTAATTAATTAATAAATTTATTTAAAGAGTTTTATTGTTTTAAATTCATTTTTTTTTAAATAACAAATTCCAAAGCAAACAAACTGTTTTTACACAAGAGAAAGTACCAAATTTTTGAGATTAGTACAATTTTCTAAAGCAGAATCTAATCCTAATACACCAATATCAATTGCATCAATTTTAATTTAGCTTTTTAAATGTTGAAGAAAATTTATATAATTAAATAGTTAATTAGTTATAAGGAAAAAATAAATAAAAAATAAAGCAAAAGTTTGATATGAAAAAATGAAATAATTTATTTAACAAAAAAGTAAAAAAAAGCAGAATAAATAAAAAAAAAACAAATCAAATAAAAACTAATAAATTAATTAAAAGAGTTAATTTTATAATCATAAATTCATCTTTATATTAAAAATATTGAAATATAAAAAATAAAGCTTTTTTTACTTCAAATAAAGTATCAAATTTGAGAGATTAGCGCATTTTGATATAGCAGAAAATAAACCTGATGCACCAATTGCACCAATATTATTATGACTTTTTATATATTCAAGAAAATAATTCTATAATTAATTAATTCATAAGTTAGTAGGAATAAATGAAGAAAAAATATAAAAAATAACACTTTGAAATATTAAAAGAATTATTACTATTTATTTATTAATTAAATATTTTTATTATATTTAGGATTAAACATAATTAAAGATGATGTATTAAATGAAAATAGTTAGTGTGTTTGTTATTAAAATATTTATTTAAAAATTTTGAATAAAAATTACAAAAATTTATTTTTACCCTTCCTAGAGGTGCTTTTGTATTTTATAAAATTTCGGCCCTTAATTTGTGAGGATTTATAGTATATACATGTATATTAAAAATATCAAAATTACAAAACAAATAAACTGTTTTTACCTAAGATCAAGTGTCAAATTTGATAGATTAGTGGACTTTCCTATGCCAAAACCTAAGTTGGATGTACCTTCATCGCCAATTTATATTTAACTTTTAAATATCGAAGAAAAAATAAAAAATGAAATTGTAATTAAGTATAAAAAAATGAAGAAAAAATAATAAGTAATAAGAAATTAATTAAAAATTTGAGAATAAAAAATTAATGTGTTAAATTAAGAAAAAAAGAAAAACACAAGTTGAATAAATAAATAAATAAATAAATAAATAAATAAATAAATAAAAAACTAATAAAAAAATAAATAAATGAATTAAAATAGTTTTATTGCTTTAAATTCATTTTTTTATTAAAAAAATTAAAATCTCAAACAAATAAACAGTTCTTACTAAATAATAATTATCAA